CACCAACACCTTCACCCTCACCAACACCCATATGCTCATCCGCCTCTTCTTCGGTGAATGGTCAAGTAATGGTCCCTGAATTATTGTCGAAGTCTTGAGTATGAAACCCATTGCCCGTCACTTTTAACAATTTTCATGCGTTTGACGGTGTTAAGGTTGATGATATCGGTGTGATTTAAGAATAGTCTCATCGTCTAATGGCACATTGAAGTGTTCTAAATTTTTTGTAAGAAGCATGCCATATGGTAAGCCCAAGACTCTAGGTGAAGAGTGAAAATTTCCCATATGTTTCAAAAAGATGTAAGAGAAGACCAATTTTCGACCAACAAGAAGGGAATCAAGGGTGAACAAGTCAAGGTGATGAACCTCTTCGCAATGGCCACTTCGAGGGACGATGATATGTGCAATTGCACGATGGAGAATTTTGCACGGGATTGTCAGATGATTTAGGTTCAAAGTCATTTTGGTAGTTAAGGGTCGGTTGGTGACAGACTACAAGCCTCAAGTTCATGATAACCTTCAAACTTAATAGGATAATTCTGGACATAAGCACAATTATCACAATCTTCTAAACCAAGGATTTGCCGAATAATAGGTATATTGAGGGTAATGCATTTATCCTTGATCGTGCAAGTTACGTGGTCCGAATAAAAAGTGACATTTCGATAAAATTATCGAATCAACCTAGGGTAAGCATTCTCGAAAATAGAAACCACATTTTTCCATCCAATTCCCTCAAAATATTCTTCTATACGAGAAAAGAGGGCTTGGATATAGAAGTCGAAAAAGTCGATAGACTTACCAATTAAAATTGGACAATCGGTGAATAGGTCAGGCAAATGTATGTTAACTTCAACGTTAGACAAACTAGCTTCTTCTTTCTTCGATTTCTTCTTTGGAGGCATTGTAGGTTCGGATGTGTTGAACAAGTGTGAGAGAGATTTCGGTTTTTCGAAATTTTTGATGGGAAAACGAGTGGGAATTGATAGGAAAAGAGTAGGATACAAATCTTTGAAGTAGGTTAATGATTTGAACGGATTTGTGATGGATTTTTGAGAGAAAATTAAGATTTTCAAGTTTTTGAACAAAATCTAGGTTTTCAATTTTTTTTCTTGACAAAATGGAAGATAAAATTTCAAATTTGTGATGTGAATGTTGATGAATATAGTAGATTTCTAGAAATCTTGAAGTAATTTGGAAGAAAAATGAAGAATTTTTGCTGATTGAAGAGAGGAGAAGAGTGAGAAATCGCAATTTTAGGTTTCAAATGAAGAATTGGAGATAAAATTGAGTTTTGAAGATGCTAAAACGCGAATATTTAGGTCGACCAAACTTCTGTGGTCGATCGAAACTCGACAGGTTTGAAAAGAGGAGGCTCATGAGGGTTCGATTGTCTGACGGTTGATCGGGAGATGGTTATCGGTTGTTCATCTGGTACACCGAAAAGTTTAAATAGTCAACCAAAATAGCTCAAAAAAAGGTGAGTTGCAATACTGCAAAACAATAGTTCACATGTAATTTCGGTTTAATCATGTATATAAATAAATTTACTACTAATCTAATATATAAAAAATCTATCGAGAGTTAGAGGTTTAGTAAGAATATCGGCCAATTGTTTTTTGGTACTAACAAATTCCTCGTAAATATCACATTTTTGCATATGATCTATAAGAAAATAATGTCGAATTTCAACATGTTTGGTGCGAGATTGCAAGATGGGATTTTTTGACAAATTTATAACACTAATGTTATCACACATAATGAGAGTATTTTCAAAAGTTAAGTGATAATCGCTAAGAGTTTGTTTCATCCAAAGAACTTCAGCACAACAACTAGCGGTTGAGATATATTCGGCTTCGATGGTTGATAGTGCAACGAAATTTTGTTTCTTGCTAAACCATGACACAATAGCAAAGTCTAAAAAGTGACAAGTTCCACTTGTGCTTTTTAGATCAATAGTGCAATCCTCCAATCGACACCCGAATAGATAATAAAGTCAATATGAGTGCCCTTTGGATACCAAAGTACTAAAGTTCTAGTGCCACATAGATATCGAAAAATTCGTTTTAAGGCACTTAGATGTGATTTTTTAGGATTGGATTGAAATCTAGCACATAAACAAACGCTAAACATAATATCGGGACTACTAGCAGTTAAATAAAGGAAAGATTGGATCATACCTTGATATTTTGTTATGTCAGTTGAAATACCTTGCTCATCTTTATCCAATTTAATTTATAAACTCATTGGAGTATTCATTGGCTTCAAGTCTTCAAAATCAAATTTCTTGAGCATATCTATGATTTACTTTGTTTGACTAATGAAGATGTCTTCATTTGTTTGTTTGATTTGAAGTCCAAGAAAGAACTTTAGTTCTCCCATCATACTCATTTTAAATTCCTTGCTCATACACTTTGAAAACTCTTCACAAAGGAAAATATTAGTTGCACCAAAATTAATATCATCAACATAAATTTATACAACAATCATGTCATCCATTTTAGTTTTAATAAAAAGTATAGTATCCGCATTTCCCGTTTGAAAACCATTTGAAATAAGAATTTTGCTCAATCTTTCATACCAAAGTCTAGGAACTTGTTTCAAACCATATAGAGCTTTTCTACGTTTAGACACATTTTCAGGAAATTTGTGATTTTTAAAACCGAGAGGTTGCTCAACATGAACTTCTTGAATAAAACAGTTTTAAAAAGCACTTTTGACATCTATTTGATAGAGAGTAAAACCTTTATGGTAAGCATGCGAATAGATTCTAATATAGCAATTGGTGCAAAAGTTTCTTCAAATCTATACCTTCTTCTATATTGTAACCTTGAGCTACTAATCTAGCCTTATTACGCACAATTATATCATTTTCATCTTGTTTATTTCGAAAAATTCATTTTGTTCCAATAATGGTTTGATCATTTGGTCTATCAACTAAATTTCAAACATGATTTCTTTCAAATTGATTTAGTTCTTCTTGTATTGGTAGAATCCAAAACTTATCAAATTCGACTTCTTTGAAATTCTTTTGTTTAATTTGAGAAATGAAAGCACAATTATTTAGAAAACCTTAGGTAGAGTTTCTAGTACTTACACCTTTGTAACGATCACCAATTATGAGCTCATTTGGATGAGATGGAACAAACCTCTATTCAATAGAAAGTGTTGGATCACTTTGATTCTTGGATGTTTCTCCATCTCCTTGATGAGAAATTGGTTCTTCCAAATCTTTATCTTCAATATCTTTAGGATTTTCCTTGTTTTGTTCTTGCATATTCATTTGCTCAAAGGAATTTTCAAACCTACATTAACACCTTTCTCTTGATCAAGAGAATTAACTTCATCAAATGTAAGATGCATAAATTCTTCCACTACTAGAGTTCTTTTGTTGAAAACTCTATAAGCTTTGCAAGTAGGTGAATATCCAAGAAAGATTCCAATATCGGATTTTGAATCAAATTTTCTCAAATTTTCTTTTGTATTTAGAACAAAGCATTTGCAACCAAAAACCTTAAAATAACTGATATTGTGAACTCTATTTTTTCAAAGCTCATATGGAGTTTTGAGTTTCTTTTGACTTACTAGAACTTTGTTCATAATGTAGTAAGCGGTGTTAACGGTTTCGGCCCAAAAATGCTTGAGTAAATTATTTTCATTTAACATGGTTCTAGCAATTTCTTACAATGTGCGATTCTTTCTTTCTACTACACCGTTTTGTTGAGGAGTTCTAATAGCTGAAAAATTATGTTCAAATCCATTTTCTTTACAAAAATTATCAAACGCAATATTATCAAATTCTCTACCATGATCACTTCTAATAGTTGTAATAGAGTATCCTTTTTCATTTTGAATCTTTTTTACAAAAATGTTTGAATATCTTTAAAACTTCATTTTTCAAGTCCAAAAATAAAACTCAAGTAAATATTGAGAAGCAATCAACAATGACAAACGCATAGTGCTTACCACTTAAACTTACGATTTTAAAAGGTCTAAAGAGATCCATGTGAAGAAGTTGTAAAAGTTTTGTGGTTGAAGAAAATTGCTTGGTTTTGAAAGAACTTTTTGTTTGTTTTTCAAATTGACAAGTATCACAAATTTTGTCTTTTTCAAATTTCAAGTTTGATAGATTTTTAACAAAGCAATTTTTTGAGATTTTTAAAATTAGATCCATACTAATATGACCTAATCTTCTATTTCATTACCAAATATCATCTTTAAAACTTGACGAACATTTTAATTTTTTTTTCAAATTCAATGTTAATGA